TTATTCTTGGGCTGTGAATCTGTCCATTTATCAGTGGACAGTTTCTTATTCAGACAGCGACAGTAGCAAGCAGAGAGCAGATAATTTACCACTCTTAACCACAGCTCAAGGACCATCTGTTTCAATGATTTAAATAGATTGGGTTCCATTTACATCTTACAATATGTTCCAGCTCTCTTGCATGAGGATTTTTGGATCAACAAGTAAAGTAAAATGTGACAGTTTTGGTCTATAGATAAGACAGAATTTACAAATTCAGAGTCGAGGCCGCAAAAGGCAGGCTAATCTGACAGCACAATCAGCCATCAAAGGTTTGACCACAGCCAACTTGGCCAATGAAATCTACACCAGCTACACTGGCTCCATTAATAAATCAGGATGAAATCAAATTGAATGATGAATTGAACTGAATGATTTTAGAAAATTGGGATTTATGTAGCTTCATTGCAAAAATCTTTTTAATGCAAAAGCCTGATTCCTACTGCCCATGTCTGTCATGTTTGTGAATTTAAGGAACCAGATAAATTAGAAACCTTGTGTGTTGTTTAGTAAATCATTAGTTGCTAGGAAACAGTTTGGGACCGAGTTTATTTCCTGTCATATGTTAAAATTAGAAGACAATTCTTAGAAAATCCTGAATCCATTTCACCTCAAAACCCCAAAATGGTCTGCATTGCACAATTTAACTATGATTGTATCACTGTAATATTATTTAGAAAATGATGGTACAATAACATTGTTACATTATATGTATGTGAACAACTAATTGACAGTCTGGTTGATGAACAGATGGGTCATCTACTTTCACTGCTGCATTAAAAGTATTTACAACTGCCGTTTAAGATAGAGAGCAGAATAGTTATATTACATAAATGATACACTGACGTTCTCCTTGGGGATTTCCAGGCTGAACTGAATTCACTCCTAAGTGCTAAATAAAATGATAATGAAAATGTGTTTTATGGGGGTTATATGGCATGTGACTCTGTGGCTCAGACAGCTTAGCCCTCTGAGTATATCTTTATGCTTTTAAAAACTGCCTACTAAGCAATTTCTGGCTTCGCTACAACTATGGGACACTTGAAATTGAATGCTTTGTTGAGCGTCTGGAGAATGTTCACGTCATAAAAGCGCTCACATTTCCTTTTCTGGAAAAATTCCTCAAGTGATGTTTATTTTAAATAAAGGGAAAGAGATTAACTGGACATGAGCTGCAGTAGACATTATTCCTAAACAGACAAAGCAAAGAGCACTGCCTGCAGAAAACCAGATTCCAACCACAGATAAAAATACAGTCTAACATACAGTCTAGCCACAATGCTTGATCTACTGGGAAGTGGAGATGGTTCACACTCAGCAGAGATACAATCCCCCACCAGCTTCACATATTCAATCATGGGGAAATGTCTATACAGTCCATCTGTGCAAGAACAAGCTTACATGACATATTATCACCTTGTAACAACTTATAAAGTTGGTTTCACTAATATGTTCACAATGTTACAGATACAGTAGACAGGGAGAAAGCTTTTAGCAGAGTTTAGTGATAATTCTCTCTAAGTAACTCCTTCAACAATGCTCGTAGTGATCTGATGCACTCACTGTTAGCAGAGGACAACCTTGACTGTCCAACCTCAGATCTTGCATATGGACAAACTCGACAAATATCAAATTGTTACATTTCCATCATGAATTGATGCAGTTGAAAGTTCAGCAAAAAAACTAGTAAGTTGACCTTGAGAAAGACTTTCATTCTCCCCAGGGTCAAGAATAACTCTCACACTATCACATTCTCTTTAATAAAAATCAGATTTTGTCCCTGCCACATTCTTGACTCTTAGGTTAGGCTTTAGGTTTTGTTGCACCAAAGCTCTAGCTGTTTGTCAGTGCTTCAAAGCGGAGTGCTCCATCCAGCAACATTAAACATACAAAATCAAAACAAATATAGAGAGAGCTCCATCTGAGCTGTAGAGCTGCCACATTACGTTGTTAAAATGTCAAGGAAGAGGAAACTAGACATTTCAACACGGGATGAGTGATGACACAAAGGGTTCAAGTGAATTTAACGTGAAGCCAGGCAGATCTGTCACTGACATTCTCCTTGGCAATTTCTGAACTGGCTGTAAGCTAAAATACGGTCTGCGTTACTGAAATGACAAGAAGTTTTGCTTACTTTTCTCTCTTTTTTGCCTCTTCTTTTTCCCTATGTTAATCACCTTTTGAAATAGCAGCAGTCCTTTTATTTGTATAATGACGTGAATATATAAGTATATACGATAACTGCAACTAGCTCTGAATAACGTTGGCTAAATGCTTGAATTAACCATCAATCAATGGTACACTCTCTACTAATAGATGTGTCAAGCAAATGCATGGCCTGACACATTCAACCTCCTTCCTTAAATGTCCATACTACTTTCAAAATGACACATTGCTAGCGGATGTTAAAAGATGTGCTGTGTTTTCTATCAAATGCAAAGTGGAAGGCTTGAAATGTCCTATTCTGCAGCACAATGATGCAGTGCACTTAGGATAATTATGTTCCATTGACTGTCTCCCCCATGGATACATCAAATGTGACTGTGCATATTTCTATACAGAAATGACACGTAAGCGAGCATGCACAAGACAGCTGCTTCTTGAAGCAGCAAGGATGCAAGCAAATGTATAGGTCATCTTTGCTAAAATTTCTGTAAGATACAAGGGATGAGGCTGGTGATCCTACTAACAAGTATTTCCTGCATAGTCTGTTATGGCCTATACACCTGAGACCACTTCCCCATTAGCCCTGCAGTGAATATACTGGGCCATTCCCATTCATTCTCCACCAGGTCGTTTAATATGCTTTCAACTTAGCGGCACAGCCATCTTCTCCGTTGGCCTGATTCTTGCCTTCTTTGGACTTCTGCCCCCCTACCTGATCCCTTACTGGATACGTTTGCCCTAGCTTCCGTGCCAGTCTGGTATTGATTTTTGCCTGTTTCTGACCACGAGTAACATTTACATCTTCAATTGGGACCAATGGGCTTGGTCTAGGGAACTCAGAAAGTGTTGAGAAATGAACAAATCCATTGTTGGTTTTGGTCTTTTCATGTTGGTTGACAATAAGAAAATCCACCAGATTTATTCTTAAACTAAACCATATTACATAGTGTAAAGTACACATACACACATTGCCCAATTACCGGCAAGTCAGGGTTTGTGAAATAGCCACTTTCCAAAGTGGCTCATTTCAGCCCAGGAGATTAGAGATTTTGGCAGTGCAGAATGTCAAAACACATCAAATTCTAGACTCTGTAACTTGAGTTAAGCATAATGGATGTGTCAGTGCTGTTTGCCATAATTTTCTTTCTTTGGTGTTCATGACAGTTTAGAACACAGGAGAAAATAACAAGAACCATCAGTCCAGACTGCGGTTCAGACGGCAGTTTGCTTTTTTATTTTATGTTTGACTTTAACAACACAAGTAACTTATATTTAGGTAATATTCTAACTGAATTTAACACACAGGATAAGTATCTTATTAAAATACTGATTGTAGCTAGCAAAAAAGTAATAACTAACAATTGGTTAGATATCCACCAAAAACCAACAGGAGAGTGGATAGCAATAAAAAGAAATCTATGAAATGGAAAAACTGACCTTTTCTCTAAGGCCTTGTTTCAATAAATCATCAAATCAAATCATAAGATTCCAAGTATTGGTCCAAATGGTGTATACACATGAATATAGTTATTGTATAGAAAATATATTTTTATTATTATATTTTTTAACGACAAGGGAGTATCGACAAGTAACCCGTAACACAAAGCTAACTGCTGTTCTAATAACATTTGAACTGTGTTGTATTGCCCAGTGTGACCTGTCTGTTCAGTTCCACAAAACAATAAAAATAAAAAGTAACTGTTGGCTTTAAACATGCAGTTTAATGGAGGACCATCATGGCCAGCATTTTGTAGGTGTTGTAGTTAGATGGAGACCCGAGATTCCAATGCCACCATTGTCAACTGTCCAAACAACATAAACAAAGGCAGTAAGGGAGTTACAAGTATGAACACACTGCTCCAAACAAGCTTAACACCCTATTTTTGTTACAGCGCGTGGCGAATGGCAGAGGCTTTGTGTCACAGAAGTGGTATTTTTGTATTTTTTGCACACATTTTTTTTCTTGCCTCGCCCGCGCCTGTTTGGTATTTTGGAGACATGCTGAGAGTTTGACTTTGCCAGATTGAAGGCAGAAAGATGTTGTTAAAAGATTGGTGTCAGTCAGCATTGGTGCAAAAGATGATCCGCATTTCCGCGAGTGCCACCAAGCCGGTGGCTTCTAACATGGGGACAAATTAAACTCTAATCTATTTTGGCTTTTCTAGTGCAATAGAAGCGCATATTGCTTTTAAACGTCGGCACTGCATTACCACATCATGATACACTGCTTTGACAAAAATGTATGTAGACTTGTTTTCATTATACAACTCAAGCTAGTTTCAAATGTCTGCTAATTTACTGTCACACTCTAAAGAATTTAAAAGAAATCAAAGGTGGTTAATGTTAGGAACCCCCTGATGCTAACCCTAACCCTACATTCAAATATTCACAACAGCATGGTTGGCAAAATAGCTAGCTGAACAGTACATGACATTTGCAGTAAAAATACTAGGTTTATCTGGAGATGCCTTTAAACCACCAAACCAAACACTGAAAAACACCAAACCCAGTCACTGTGGCCAGCACGCTCTGCAGGGCGGACTGCACTTTGCACCACTGATCCAACAAAACAAGGCCCTTGGTGTGAATACACCTTCCGATTTAGACCCTTGTTTCTTCTACACTCTCCTCTTTGTCTACCGCTGGCTTCCTGTGCACAGTGGTTGAGTGTGGAGTGGGGGTGTGGGCTTCACTCCATTGTGTTCATACTGCTGACTTTGCCAGAACCAGAGCTAGAAGCATCTCTGTTATGGGTGCACTGGCTCAATGCATCACCTTAATCACTCTTGCCTCACATTTCAACTGCATGAAACCTTCACCAGGGCTGACAGCAACAGGAAGCACGCTCGGCCAATCCCTCCTCCATCACCACAACCAACAGAGAGCAAAGAAAGTGCTTACCTAGGAGAAAAGACAAAGAGAGGGAAGAAAGGTTATTCAACTAGCATTACAGTATGTTACACTAAGCAGCCTAATATGTTATTCACTTAGCTTTTTTTTTTACAATATGACATATATACGACATACGTACATACATACATACATACATACATTTTCCCATATTGTAATTACACCAAACTCTGTACAGGGAAATACTCATCACTGCACTGATCAACCAGCAAGTAATTCACCATTGTGGTAGAGTTGGCTAAATGGTAGATCTCAAGGGAATGGTAATGGATTTCTGGCTGTCAATAGTGCTAAATGTATGTATGCCATGTATGTTTCATTATGTGAATCGCAAATCTAACAGGACCTACAAACATATGCAAAAAGACACTCAGAGTCAGATTCTCATTTTCATCTTTGCCCAACTATAATAGATTTTTAAGATCCTTTGCGGCATCTTAAAAAAGACTAACATATGTCAGAAATTATACAAAAATGTAAGGCAGGAATGCATCAAATCCTCTGTCAGTTTCTTTTAAGCCTAGTAAAGTCTAAATTTTGATGTACCTGTAACAGATGCTGGGTGAATTTCCGAAATATTATTTGTATTATCTCCACAGGGATTAAAATAAGTTGTGAAAAAAAGTAATTTCAAAAATGAAATAATAAGACAGGAGGATAGGTCATATTTCTGCATTTCTCCATAAATGATAAAGTTCCCTCCTGAAATAAACAATCTGTTATCTGCTCACAGGGTAAAAAGACAGAAACATGGATGACTCTATCAGTAAAAAAAAGGCTGTAATTAAAAATGTTATGTTGCTGATTTCATGCCCACATTTAGGTTTGGTGGTGATGTTCATTTTCATTTATTCTTTAACTCTAAGACTCGAATTTACACAGACACATCCAACGATTCACTCCTTCTCCATGAACCTCCACTGACGGGTGTCACAATTTTCTCTTGTTTGGTTATTGATTTCTTTAAGGTCACATTAAGGTGTACACTATGGTCAAAACAAGTTCACAACAAATATGAAGTCAAACTGACACTAGCACAGCGTTTTGAACAACTTCAGTCCACAACTCACAAACCGAAGCTCCTGTGGATTTGAACCTATGAACCTGATATTTGTGAAAAGCTGTGATTTCCCTGAGGCTTAGATGTTCAAAGACGAAACATTACTTCAAAGCAAGAGTAAAGAGCAACGGCCTCCGAAACTGTGCTACGCAAGTGCTGTGCTGTAGCTGGAAAACTTGCCAAAACTTTACAAATGCCATAGAAATATTGCAGTGATGCTATTGACAACAAAATGCAGAGATAATCGTTGGCTATACATCATAGATCTATCTTCAAAGATCGGTGTGTACCCATCACAACTGCGCAGTGTGTTTTTAACCAACTCTCAGATATTGAAATAATACTAAGTCAACAGAAACCATTTTACCAACTCATTTAGTCTCTTTAAGAATTATTGTTTGACTTTTTTTGTTGGAGGCATTAAAAATAATCTTCATTTTGCTTGTTGATTTGACAAGATGAGATTTGTGGTGGAGAAATAATTTCGAATGTGAACATTAATGGTTAATGTTCCTGCACCTATTCCTCACCTGCCCATAGCTTTGCTAGCAGAATTTTTGTGTTGGCTAGCAAAGTTTTGTTTTTTCTTTCTTTCTTTTTTTTTTTTTTAACAAAAAAATTACGCCACATTTAAACTGAGGGGACCAGAAACTGGTCCTGGTCCACACTGCAATGCTACCTAATACAGAATTCCTCTAATCCATCCATAGTTGTTAAACTTCTGTCAGAGCTGACTCAGCAGTTAGAGGCTGCAGATGGAGGTGTTTCTCATGAATATTTGATATATAAAGTATTGACCTCGACCTAATAAAGAGGTTGGTTTGAATACAACTGAGATATCATATGACTCTATATGTGATTAGTTTTGTGCATGTTCACTTCATAAAATTAGCCTTACTTGATGGCAAGGCAAATGTTGGCTTCATTAGCTTCATGAGGAGCTGTCACTCAGATGATAATTTTGGTTTATTTCAGTCTGGCACATTTCCAATATATGTGTCAGGACATCAAAAACTGTGTCTTAACTTTGGACGGCAATGCCGTCTACCGTTACCATTGCTGGTATTCTCTGCTGGCCTCACCTAATTTTACCATCCTGCTTTCATCCACTAAAATTATATCCAGTTTGACATCTACCGTCTGCCTAAATCCATGTGAATGCAACGTAATTCCAGCTGTGAAACTACAACAAATGAATTTGCAGCACTGATCAACATTTCCATGACAATAGATCCCTCTGCAGTTAGCCATACTGGCTGTTCTAGGGTGCTACTTTCTGTGTTTCAAATGAGTCACTTAAAGGTCATGTTATATTATCTGGAAAGCTGTAGGAGGCTTGCACAGCTTGCCTTGATATACATGGTTTGGCACGATCCTCATTTCCCTGATTCCCTACAACAGAGGTGGCAAGTGCAATGTTAGCTCAAGCAGAGCCACATTGGACAGATGTATGGGAAATACGGCTGGTTGAAATAAGCCAGAATGTTCCTTTTAGTGCTTAACAAACTCAAGTTCAAGACTCAAATTCCCTAATGTGCAAAATAAATAATAAATAAACATAAATAAACATTTTTGTTGCTTTTGAGTCCTGATGAATCTAATAACCTCTTTTTTCAAATGTCAAACTCTGTACCAGGTTAAATCAGTTTTAATCAACACTGAAAGAACTCTGGGCTATTTACATCTGACTAATCTATATGAAAGTGATTAGGGGAAAAAATGCTAAAAATCTGCCATGGGGATATTAAATGGCTCCAACTGACATGGGAGTAATAAAGAGAGGCAGCTCAAATTGCCCAAGAGGGCCACTAATGTAGAAAGTGATGGGAATAGGGTTAAGATGTTTTAGTCAGTCAGTGGATGCATAGCCTTTATTACTGGGCTTCATTTATTCCAAAGGCACCGGACCTTTCTCCTGAATCAAGATTGATGGAAGGTAGGCGTCACTGGGATTGAAGCTCTTGGAGCATGGTAGAAAGAATATCTGAGCATGACTAAAGACCAGGCTGAGGCCTACTGGGAGCACTACTAAAAGGTCTGCAAGCAAGATACTTCTCTTCAACTATCAAAATGATTATTTTTTAAACAAAAGGTTTGGTGAGTTGCCTCAAGCTAACTTTTAAAATCGTTCTTAGGTCATGGCTCCTGGGATGTTTTATTGTTTGTTTCTTTATTGCATTTTGAACCTTGTCCCAAGAACAAATGAAAAACATGGAGGGTAGTCTGAATGAATACTTAAAGGACAGTTTTAGTTTTGTAGATGAGCTGCACAAAGGTGATATTAAAAATGTTCATATGTTGCTTTTATGTCTTGGCACAACAGAGCTTTGAACTTGGGAGAATGTAAAATAAAAAAAACTTCAATAGACCAAGGAGGAGTGATAAGACAGATCGGACAGATAGGTGCGAACCGGGAAACAAAGTAGAAAAGACACAATATGAGCAGAGGATGGATGTGAAAATGGAAGCCTGAGATGAAGGCTGGACAGGGAGATGACAGCTATCAGGGGGAAAAAGGCAGGTAATAGTGAAAGAAAATGTAAAATGAAATGTACAGATGTTGATTCAGATTATAATCAAATCTTTGTCAAAACCTAATCACCCAACGCTATAACTGTTGTCTGCTCCTCTCATCCTCCTGTGCCCACATGTTACATTTCTATAGAGTTTGGGACGCTCATTCACTCGGGACTAAACCTTATCAGATGGGCTTTGTGTTGTAATATGGTAATTTGAATTTTTATTTAACAGATCATTGACATGACTGATTTCCACAGGATTAATAATGCAGACACCCTCTGCAATTTTATCAAATCACAGGTGGTGCCAAGGCAGTGCTAGTCCTATGCAAATCAGGCTTTCGGGAAAACCCTGAATGATATTGCCTTCAGGGGAAAAATGAACATGTCAGGATGAAGGCTTGTCTTTCAAAGAAACAATCTTCCAAGAACTTGGATGACAGAACGCCAGTCCTGATTAGACCTGACGGGAAGCTAGCCAATTAAAGATCACTTCCATCTGCCCTGTTCACTGCCCACGCCTTATAGTCTGCTTGCTTAAAGTGGGACCGCTTCAGTCGCAAGTGATTTGCAAGAGAGGAAACCTGTTAAGAAAAATGACTAGGAAATTTATTTCTGAACTGTAAGCAAGCCATTAAATAAGGCCTGAACCCCTCCTAAAGCCAGCAAATGGCTGTCCAAATGTTAATTTGCTGAACAGACTGCAGATGATGCAGAACATGGCTTTCACCTTCTCCTGCCATACATAATTCATGCTATTGACTGGTGAGGCAATGCCACTTTCATGCACCGAGCTCACAAAGTGGTGCCACTTTCACACACCGACGCAAGCCAATGAATCCACACCAACTGTGCAGTAACGCTTAGCACACAATTGAGGTTGGCGTGAAATGTCCAGACAAGATACAGGCATGCTCACATTTCTGATACTGGCACAGATGCCCTCATACTGGTTTACAGAGACAAGTGCACACATGCTGTCACAAAGGAACTTAAACCACAAAGTATGCCTCATAATATAAATAAAAAGAACAAAAATGGAGAAAAAAGGAGCCAGTTGCACTTTTAAATCCGAATATGTAATCGCCAAGCATGACAGGTCACACAGTGTAGTATGTATACAGGAGCATATAACTGAAAGCTGCCATCGCCTATGAAGAATTATTCATGGTCTAAAGCATCAGTCCCACAGGGAACATTAAATATAAATTTATGTGTGCCGCTCAGTCTGACCCACTTTGGAGGATCCAACAACTGCTGCCACAGAAGCGGCTTTTGGCTCCTCCTCAGTACCAAAAGGACTGCTGCCACTACAAAGCCTCCCTTTGATTAACCTCACTGCCAAAAGGCGACTACCATATGACTCCTGCATTTCTTTGGTAGGAGTAAGCCTGACACACAAAACACTGAGA